CATATTTTTTAATAGTATATTTTCTTCTTGTTTTATCTGTATTCATTAGAGAGTTAAGTTGTTGTATCTTACAAACTTTCTTTGTACTTTTTCTATTTTCTGTTTATTTGTAAAGATTATTTTTGCTATTTGCTTTATAAAACTACCTTTTCTTTTTAGAATATAAACTGCTTTTGCTTTTCTGTTCTTGAGATATCTTAACAAAAGGTTTCTAAAAGACTTTCTGTAATTTCTGTAAGTTTTGATATAAATTTATATCTTTTAATTTTTTTTTTTTTTTTTTAAATATTAAGATAACCACTTGGGGGTCTGGTATAATTTATTAACTTCTGGTTCAAATCTTAGAGTTACTGAATAGGCAACCTCTTGACTTTGTTATATCAACGAGAATACAATTAGCTATATGTATAACTTTAGTTATTATCTAATTAAAAGCTCTGCTATATTTATTTCTACTAATTGCTATATCTAAGATCTGTTTGTAGATTCTCTATTTAAACTCTCTAATCGACTTAGCACTATCAGACATTTTCTTTAAAGAATTTTGTTATTAAAGCCCTTTAAAACTACTTTATCCTCATAGTAAATCTACCAAAGTGGTCCATATCCCACACATATATCATCTAGATTTTTCAATAACTTACACCCCAATTTGAGAACTGGTATTTGCAGTCTTTATCACTGCTACCATTATCTACTCCTTGCCTTTACAAGGTTCATTATGATTCTGATATCTATTTTTAACTAGCTTTTATACTGATTCCTCTCTGATTACCAAACCATTAGTTCAGATAGATTGTTATATCTAGGTTCTAAGTACTTTCTGGTTTTATTTCTCTTGTTTCCTAATTCTATAGCATAGAACCTTTTCCTTTGGTATTACTCTGGTGGCCAGGTTGGTAGACCCTTCTTGCCCCAGAGTTATTTGTTTAGTTCTTCAGTCTCCAGTTCTAGTTTTTTATAATATTGTCAAAGATCTTTATTACACCTAACTTGTGTCTTACCAAACAGGGTTTAAATATTTTGGTTTCTTGGATTTGAATCACTCTAAAGCTTCTATTTTGAGATAGTAGTACTAAAGTTATAGGTGATATACCCAACCAATTGTTGAATAAATATTATCAGTATACAGGTCTATTTTTCGAAAAATATCTCTAGTGAGAATCAAACTTTAGATCTGCTATTTGGAAGTGACAACTTAATCACTACTTTATATTACTATACTTTTAACTCTTTTTCATAGTTCTCTTTTCTATAGATATATAAACTAATCTTTTATTATCTATTGGGAGAACCTATAGTATATTACTATTTTCTAAATTTTTATTAAATTCTAGCATTGCTAAAGCTCTGCTATTTCTTTGTTTGATATATATAGTAAAACTTTTCTAAATACAATATAACAGAACTATTTATAAAAATTTAGTCATATGTATACTTAGAGAGGTATTGCATTTAGAGAGATAAAAATCTATAGATATAATATTAGTTGGGATCAAGAGAAGATATGTATTTAGAAAAGTATTTCATAAAATGTGCATTTAAGAAGATAACATTTAGAGGATCTGACTATATATCTTCTATTATATCTAATTTCTTGCAGATACATCTAATTTTTTTGTATTTATGTCTACTAGCAGTTCTTAGATTATGATATAGTTCATATTTATATACCATATATTCTTGAAAATAAGCTACCATTTTAGAAGAAAAATTATACAAAAATATTGGGAGTAGTTTATTTTTGGATAAAAGTGGCTTTTGCTCGATTGCGAAAAATTTTACTAAGTAAATTGGCATGGCTTATTAAGTAAAAGATATTCAGAAGATCAAAATACATATATTTTAAAATTTTCATATAAATCGGATAACTTTTTATTAATTGACTTTTGATTTTTACGTTCAATGAATATGAATTTTAAAAAAAAATTTAAAAAATTCGTCAAACATAACATGCAAAAGTCAATTAATAAAAAGTTATCTGATTTATATAAAATTTTTAGAATATATGTATTTTGATCTTCTAAATAACTTTCACTTAATACGTCATATCAATTTACTTAGTAAAATTTCAACTTTACTATAGAGTAACTACTGATAATCATATAAGTAGCTTATTTTTGGACAATAGAAGTTTTTACATTTTTCTTCTAAAAAAGTAAGGTAGCTTATTTTTGAAGTAGCTTATTTTCAGAAATATACAGTATCTGTTATGATTGTACTTTCTTGATATTTCTAGCTTTATATCATAGTATCTTCTATTTAGATATAGGTTATCTTCTGTTTTCTTGAATATTTAATTTAATTTTTATTGAAACTATAAATATATAATAGTTATTTATACAAAATTTTATTAAGATAACTTATTTTTTTTTTATTTAATTAGAAGTATTTTGATTAAAAAAATATTTTTTATTTAATATATAAAATTAATTAGCTTAATAAAATTTGGCATAAATTGAAGATTTTAAAAAGTAATAAAATTTTTAAATTTTAAAAAATTTTTAAATATTATTTGATCATATGCAACTCTTTCCGATAATCCTTTGGTCAACAAAAAAATCGAACTACAGTTAAAGTTATAGAAAAGCAATAAAGTAGACACTATAATATTCTTGCTACATACTTACACTATTTGCTGTCGACTAAACTTATATATGTGAAATACCGAAAAGCAAGCGTATAAACAAAAAGTGGGTTCAGTATTACGGTCAAGCTTCTTTTTACAAACTGTTGTTAATGAAGTTCTTAAATATGATATACTGAGGTGAGAGCATTGTGGACGGTTTGCACAGAGGTCAAGCCTTTTCCATATGTGGTGGACTCCTTTGTGCGTTTGGCATCCAAACCAGAGAAGTCTCTGGGAACAGTAAGAAAAAAGAAGTGAACTCTCCCATACCTTCGATATCCAAACCAAAAGGATATTTTGGAAGCAATATCTCTGTTGAATCCCTGTGCAAGAATATTTAGTAGAAACAGAGGAACTGGACTATACTACTATAACTCTTACAAGAAGAACCTCACATATTTTTGTTGGTCCGCTACTTTTTTTAAGGAAATTTTTGTAAAAAGTGGGTGTTCAACTAATCTTCTCCAAAAGATCAATATCATGTGCACCAAAACAGTCAGCATTGTTTACTTTCTAAATTAATACAACAGAACAACAAACACATCAAGACACATACCTCGAATGCAACAATCTGATTAAACAATATTCTATAACTTGGATCAAGTACCGACCCCCTATATTTTATGGTCGAAGAAGTATTTTTCTACTGGTTTTGAGCTTTCATATACTATTTAGATAAATTTAAAGTAAGGATTATTTTATTTAGTAGTATATAATTTTTATAAACTATTCAAGGGCTCATAATAGTGATTATTAGGATAGGCAAATTTTTTTTTTCTTTTTTTCGATATCTCTTTATCCCTTTTTTTTTCTTGCTTGTATTTTTTACTGTATTCCCCTTTTACCTCTGTTTTATTTTTCTTTTGTGTTTGTGCTTTTGTTAATTTGGCTCTTTTGATGAAGCATGCAGCTGCTAGGGCTAAAGATCAGAGGGTTCATATTCTCAGTAAGTTGAAGATCCAATGTGAAGCCAATTGCAGCTAGGTGGGTCGTTCTCTGAGCTTAGCTCAAGTTGATCTTTACTTATGTGAAATATAGTATAGAAAATTATATCTCTCTGTTGATATAAGTTCTGGTACTTCCCAATAAAGAGTAATAGGCAGGACTACCGAATTAAAAAAAAAATAAATATTATTTGATTTGATTTGATTTAATTTAATTTGATCAAATTTAAATATATTTGATATTTAATTTAATTTGATTTTAAAAAACTTTAATTAGTAATAGCTATAAATAAAAATTTTTTGGTATTAAGATGATTTCTTAATCAAGTATAATTTTTATTATATAAATGAATTATTATATAGATTTGAAGAGTATATCTAACTATATTTATACTTTTTAAATATCTATTTAAGTAGTTTGTCTATTATTAAATTTTATACTAGTTGCTATATTTGCAATTTATCTATTTAGATTATTTGAGAGATTAAAAGTAAAAATTATCTAAATTGTTTTTAATAAGTTTTTTTAAAACTTTTAATTAAAATATATTAACAACTATTAAACCAAACCTAATAAATTTTTTTTATTTTAATTCTATAACTATATAGAATTAAAATAAAGAAAATTTTGTCAAGTTTAGTTTAATAGTTGTTGAGATATTTTAATTTAAAGTCTAAAAAAAATTTATTTAGAAACAATTTAGATATGTTATACTATAAGCTCTCTTTGGTTAAATAGCAAATCATCAATTAAAGCAACCTATTATTTTCTTTTTTAATATATTTTTAATCTTTATTCTTAAGATAAATCTGGCAAAGTTTATAGTATTTCTACTTTTTAATATATAATTTATAACTTGTACTTTAGTTGATATTTATGAACTATAATCTACCACTTGTAGTTCAAGTTTTATTATTTTAGAAATATTGTAATACCAAGTTATATAAATAAAATTATATGATTTTTAAATAGTCTAAATCTTTAATAAACAGAAACAAGACTGTTAAATTTAAAATCATATATACATAATATATATATTTTTTTATTTAAAAACTTGTATAATTCTGTATAATTTACAACTTGCTATATATAAAATTTGATTATTCTTTTTAAATATTCTAGTTTGAAATTTTTTTTTTAATATAATAGATAATTATTATATGAAATTTAAATATGATTATATAATTGTTTTGAAGCCTGATTTTGCTATAAACTTTTACATATCCCTTAAACTGTCCAGTAGGCAAATTTGCTTGCTAAAATTTTTTTTTAGCAATTTTTGTATATCCACGCCAAATATTACTAAGCTTGTCTCCTTTATTTCTTAACTAGAATTAGAGTTTAGCGTATAATCACTCATGTTCCATCTCACAGTTCTTCATATGCATGATAATGCAATATTTATATAACTCTTGAAAATCCGCATATGATTGCTCTTCTCAAAGCTGTCCTGCATAAAATCACCTATATAAAAAAAAAAAATAAAAAAAATAAAAATAAAATTAAAATTAAAATGTTTTTAAAGGCTTTACCGTATTCTAGTTTATCATTTGCAAGTTCATTGTCGTCTCTTTTTGAAAATGTAGAGATATACGTTGATGATAAAAAATATGTGCCAATTTTAATCTTTTGTCACTATTAGTTATACTATAGGTATTAGTCTCTTTTTTTGATATTATTTTGTAATCCTTTAAACTATCAGATTAAGCGTTTAAATTTATATATTTAAATTTTTAGGAAAAATTTAAACTTTAAAAAAAATTTTTTTAGTGAAATCTCTATTCTAATTGGTTGTAATAACTTTTAGAGATTCAAGTTACATAGCACACTTCACAGTTACAATATAAAGTACTTTATGTAGTCTAAACAAAAAATAAAACTTTACCTGATAGCTACAAAACATATATTTTGATATGAACTTTGAGCCATCATATCTTTGTAGCAATAGCTCAAAAACCAATTGTATAAAGTTGATTATAAAGAATCTTTGATCAACTTTAATGTTGCATTATAAAAGATATCTTTGTGTGATAATTATAAAAAATTTTTATATATATCATATGCAGGTTCCTTTTTTAGTATAAAATTTGAACATCAAAGTCCTATTATAATTTACAACAAATAACCAATTTTTAATATATTATTAAAGAAATTTCATAAAATAAAAATTATATAGCAACCAACATGCTATATACTTTTATTTTAGCTTAGAAAATAGGGGTGAAGTTTAACAAAATTTAGAGTAAACAAAAAAAAATAGGTCAAAAAAATTTAAGCAGCCAAATTTGGCTACTAAACAGTTTAAGAGATAGCTAAATCTTTTTTCTTAAAAAGATTTTATCTTCTTATTATTAAATTTTTTTCTTTATTTCTTGTTGTCTTGTTTCTTTAGACATATTTTTTAATAGTATATTTTCTTCTTGTTTTATCTGTATTCATTAGAGAGTTAAGTTGTTGTATCTTACAAACTTTCTTTGTACTTTTTCTATTTTCTGTTTATTTGTAAAGATTATTTTTGCTATTTGCTTTATAAAACTACCTTTTCTTTTTAGAATATAAACTGCTTTTGCTTTTCTGTTCTTGAGATATCTTAACAAAAGGTTTCTAAAAGACTTTCTGTAATTTCTGTAAGTTTTGATATAAATTTATATCTTTTAATTTTTTTTTTTTTTTTTTAAATATTAAGATAACCACTTGGGGGTCTGGTATAATTTATTAACTTCTGGTTCAAATCTTAGAGTTACTGAATAGGCAACCTCTTGACTTTGTTATATCAACGAGAATACAATTAGCTATATGTATAACTTTAGTTATTATCTAATTAAAAGCTCTGCTATATTTATTTCTACTAATTGCTATATCTAAGATCTGTTTGTAGATTCTCTATTTAAACTCTCTAATCGACTTAGCACTATCAGACATTTTCTTTAAAGAATTTTGTTATTAAAGCCCTTTAAAACTACTTTATCCTCATAGTAAATCTACCAAAGTGGTCCATATCCCACACATATATCATCTAGATTTTTCAATAACTTACACCCCAATTTGAGAACTGGTATTTGCAGTCTTTATCACTGCTACCATTATCTACTCCTTGCCTTTACAAGGTTCATTATGATTCTGATATCTATTTTTAACTAGCTTTTATACTGATTCCTCTCTGATTACCAAACCATTAGTTCAGATAGATTGTTATATCTAGGTTCTAAGTACTTTCTGGTTTTATTTCTCTTGTTTCCTAATTCTATAGCATAGAACCTTTTCCTTTGGTATTACTCTGGTGGCCAGGTTGGTAGACCCTTCTTGCCCCAGAGTTATTTGTTTAGTTCTTCAGTCTCCAGTTCTAGTTTTTTATAATATTGTCAAAGATCTTTATTACACCTAACTTGTGTCTTACCAAACAGGGTTTAAATATTTTGGTTTCTTGGATTTGAATCACTCTAAAGCTTCTATTTTGAGATAGTAGTACTAAAGTTATAGGTGATATACCCAACCAATTGTTGAATAAATATTATCAGTATACAGGTCTATTTTTCGAAAAATATCTCTAGTGAGAATCAAACTTTAGATCTGCTATTTGGAAGTGACAACTTAATCACTACTTTATATTACTATACTTTTAACTCTTTTTCATAGTTCTCTTTTCTATAGATATATAAACTAATCTTTTATTATCTATTGGGAGAACCTATAGTATATTACTATTTTCTAAATTTTTATTAAATTCTAGCATTGCTAAAGCTCTGCTATTTCTTTGTTTGATATATATAGTAAAACTTTTCTAAATACAATATAACAGAACTATTTATAAAAATTTAGTCATATGTATACTTAGAGAGGTATTGCATTTAGAGAGATAAAAATCTATAGATATAATATTAGTTGGGATCAAGAGAAGATATGTATTTAGAAAAGTATTTCATAAAATGTGCATTTAAGAAGATAACATTTAGAGGATCTGACTATATATCTTCTATTATATCTAATTTCTTGCAGATACATCTAATTTTTTTGTATTTATGTCTACTAGCAGTTCTTAGATTATGATATAGTTCATATTTATATACCATATATTCTTGAAAATAAGCTACCATTTTAGAAGAAAAATTATACAAAAATATTGGGAGTAGTTTATTTTTGGATAAAAGTGGCTTTTGCTCGATTGCGAAAAATTTTACTAAGTAAATTGGCATGGCTTATTAAGTAAAAGATATTCAGAAGATCAAAATACATATATTTTAAAATTTTCATATAAATCGGATAACTTTTTATTAATTGACTTTTGATTTTTACGTTCAATGAATATGAATTTTAAAAAAAAATTTAAAAAATTCGTCAAACATAACATGCAAAAGTCAATTAATAAAAAGTTATCTGATTTATATAAAATTTTTAGAATATATGTATTTTGATCTTCTAAATAACTTTCACTTAATACGTCATATCAATTTACTTAGTAAAATTTCAACTTTACTATAGAGTAACTACTGATAATCATATAAGTAGCTTATTTTTGGACAATAGAAGTTTTTACATTTTTCTTCTAAAAAAGTAAGGTAGCTTATTTTTGAAGTAGCTTATTTTCAGAAATATACAGTATCTGTTATGATTGTACTTTCTTGATATTTCTAGCTTTATATCATAGTATCTTCTATTTAGATATAGGTTATCTTCTGTTTTCTTGAATATTTAATTTAATTTTTATTGAAACTATAAATATATAATAGTTATTTATACAAAATTTTATTAAGATAACTTATTTTTTTTTTATTTAATTAGAAGTATTTTGATTAAAAAAATATTTTTTATTTAATATATAAAATTAATTAGCTTAATAAAATTTGGCATAAATTGAAGATTTTAAAAAGTAATAAAATTTTTAAATTTTAAAAAATTTTTAAATATTATTTGATCATATGCAACTCTTTCCGATAATCCTTTGGTCAACAAAAAAATCGAACTACAGTTAAAGTTATAGAAAAGCAATAAAGTAGACACTATAATATTCTTGCTACATACTTACACTATTTGCTGTCGACTAAACTTATATATGTGAAATACCGAAAAGCAAGCGTATAAACAAAAAGTGGGTTCAGTATTACGGTCAAGCTTCTTTTTACAAACTGTTGTTAATGAAGTTCTTAAATATGATATACTGAGGTGAGAGCATTGTGGACGGTTTGCACAGAGGTCAAGCCTTTTCCATATGTGGTGGACTCCTTTGTGCGTTTGGCATCCAAACCAGAGAAGTCTCTGGGAACAGTAAGAAAAAAGAAGTGAACTCTCCCATACCTTCGATATCCAAACCAAAAGGATATTTTGGAAGCAATATCTCTGTTGAATCCCTGTGCAAGAATATTTAGTAGAAACAGAGGAACTGGACTATACTACTATAACTCTTACAAGAAGAACCTCACATATTTTTGTTGGTCCGCTACTTTTTTTAAGGAAATTTTTGTAAAAAGTGGGTGTTCAACTAATCTTCTCCAAAAGATCAATATCATGTGCACCAAAACAGTCAGCATTGTTTACTTTCTAAATTAATACAACAGAACAACAAACACATCAAGACACATACCTCGAATGCAACAATCTGATTAAACAATATTCTATAACTTGGATCAAGTACCGACCCCCTATATTTTATGGTCGAAGAAGTATTTTTCTACTGGTTTTGAGCTTTCATATACTATTTAGATAAATTTAAAGTAAGGATTATTTTATTTAGTAGTATATAATTTTTATAAACTATTCAAGGGCTCATAATAGTGATTATTAGGATAGGCAAATTTTTTTTTTCTTTTTTTCGATATCTCTTTATCCCTTTTTTTTTCTTGCTTGTATTTTTTACTGTATTCCCCTTTTACCTCTGTTTTATTTTTCTTTTGTGTTTGTGCTTTTGTTAATTTGGCTCTTTTGATGAAGCATGCAGCTGCTAGGGCTAAAGATCAGAGGGTTCATATTCTCAGTAAGTTGAAGATCCAATGTGAAGCCAATTGCAGCTAGGTGGGTCGTTCTCTGAGCTTAGCTCAAGTTGATCTTTACTTATGTGAAATATAGTATAGAAAATTATATCTCTCTGTTGATATAAGTTCTGGTACTTCCCAATAAAGAGTAATAGGCAGGACTACCGAATTAAAAAAAAAATAAATATTATTTGATTTGATTTGATTTAATTTAATTTGATCAAATTTAAATATATTTGATATTTAATTTAATTTGATTTTAAAAAACTTTAATTAGTAATAGCTATAAATAAAAATTTTTTGGTATTAAGATGATTTCTTAATCAAGTATAATTTTTATTATATAAATGAATTATTATATAGATTTGAAGAGTATATCTAACTATATTTATACTTTTTAAATATCTATTTAAGTAGTTTGTCTATTATTAAATTTTATACTAGTTGCTATATTTGCAATTTATCTATTTAGATTATTTGAGAGATTAAAAGTAAAAATTATCTAAATTGTTTTTAATAAGTTTTTTTAAAACTTTTAATTAAAATATATTAACAACTATTAAACCAAACCTAATAAATTTTTTTTATTTTAATTCTATAACTATATAGAATTAAAATAAAGAAAATTTTGTCAAGTTTAGTTTAATAGTTGTTGAGATATTTTAATTTAAAGTCT